AGCTTATGAAATAATTATGTTTTTGGATTTTTAATTTATTTTGACGTGTGTAGAAGGGATTTGGATTTTTTTTTAAAGGTTAAAATATATTTTTAGTCTTTTAAGTTTTAATTTACATAAAATTTTGATTTGGTTCCTTGACTTTAAAAAAGTATATTTTTAATCTTTTAGTCTAAAAACTGTTAACAAAAAATGATGATATTGAGATATTGAATCTTAATAAAAAGTCTAAAATACTAATATATTAAGTTTAATTTTTTTAAAAATAACCATTTAAGACCTTTTATAAGGTTAAAGACCTAAGTATTGACTTCTAACTGTTATAATTTATTTGAAGCTGAATTTAAATAGGCACTAAATTTAAACTCTCTTTCACAAATAGCGAGCAGGTTTGACATGCAACTAAAAAATCTCCTTTGGCTTAAATTTTTCGAAGAAGAAAGAAAAAAGTTGGAACTTTTTAATATGAATCTCCTGAATGTTTGTACCAATTAGCTGTCTATATTTACAACGCAAGCCAACAAAACGAGAGTTGGCGTGGTAAATAGACTTGAAAGCCGGCATTGACAATTTGATCGGCTTATATCTTGTAACTTATCTACTGCTCTGCTTTGTTCTGTTTTTCATCGAATTTTCGATAACACTATGCCTTATCCAAATATCAGTTTTTATTCAGATAAACATATGAGATGATGAAGATTAAGATGGTAGATAACACATTTATCAATGTATTGATGAAACACGAATCCATTCTGCTCCAAAAGACGCTAGCAGAAGACAAACAAATCCTGTTTTGTTTACATTTAACAGGGGAACTCAGAAACAAAAACACGAGAGAACAACGTCACTGATGCTACCATGAACAATGCCTTTATGATCACATTCCTTCAATATTGCAAGTTACATGCAGAAAGATTAAGTTCATTAGATCCAAAATGACACATTTCTTATAATGTACATTAGACAAACTACAAATGAGCACACATAAGTAAATATATACTGAAAATGTCAAAGCAAGTAAATGTCCAAGAGAATCCACAAACTTCAGGACTCGATGAAATCATGCAGCCTACTGGACCTGTCACGCAACAACACTATGGATTCCTCCACAGAAGATAACTCCTTGTTGATGGACTCAAGCTGAGCTTTCAAATTTGAAGCATGATCTTCAGCCTCCTTAACCTTCCTCTTGATGTCTTCTCCATCTTCACATTCCTCAATGCAGCCATGCACGTAACTGATCCAGGAATCATCAAAGCCAGCCCCTTTTAACGCTGTGCAACATTCTCTGATGTAGTTTCGATCATCTTCTGTCAAGTCAACTCTTCGAGTGGTCCTCAAGATACGAGTCACCTCAGCAAATAAGGAAAAGAAGAAGGAAGCAAACACTCTTCGTCGCTTTGTGTTGAGCCAATCAAGCACGTGAGGATGCCGCTCCACCCCAGCCTCCAAATATGGCATGCTTTGTTCAGGAATGTCAATCATTCCCTTGTAGTTTCTATAAATGTTCGATTTCTGTATTGATGAGATCATAGGTTCTGCAGCTTGTGAAGGTGATGGATCAAGAGGTGAATCAACAAGCAAGGAGGGGGAAAAAAGTTTGAGGCAGGTTTTGAGAAAATGAAAAAGAAGTCTTGCGAAAATTGCAGTTCTTTCCCTGTCAATTCATTTCAAATTGATTGGAGCTTGCAAATCAATACCTGCTTCATGAGTCATGGTTGAGCTTGGTACATATTGAGCAACGTGAATTGAGGGCTTCTGAATAGTATCGCATGTCTTTTGAGTCTCAATATATGAATCATGTGATTCTTCTGGTACATTTTTATCAACATGATAACAGACTTGTTAGCTCATTCAAAGAATACTACCCAAAAAAGAAAAAGATACAAAACAGGATAAGAACCTGTATTTTGTGTTGTGGCAAGTTTCTCTGCATCTTGGTCAGTTTGAATCAAGGATTTGTCCATGGAGTCATCAATCTCTTGAGTTCCAACAGCCAAAAAACAATTAAAAAATTATGAGAAAAGATTTTTTTCAAAATAAAATAAATTACTTCTTTCTGAAGAGAAATAATCCGTTACTTTCTTTTTTGCCACTAGTCACAAAAGTTTTGGGTAGATTGAACAAATTTTTTCTGGAACTAGTTTTTGACTCATGTGATTCTTCTAACAAATTTCAGTTGACATGACAGAAAGTCAAAATCATGAATTAATTAAGCAAGAGTATTAGATCAAGATCCATCAAAACAGGATTAGGACCTATGTCCTGTACTACAGCTGGTCTTTGTGCTTCCTGCGCAGCATGAATTAAGGGTTTCTCGGTAGTCACATTCATCTCTGGAGTCAAAAAGCCAAACAAATAAGTTTAGAAATACTTAGCTAACAAATAACGCAAGGTATTGTAAAGAAAAAAAAAAGCTTCTAAAATTTAAAAGATGAGAAGTCATTTGAAGCCTTTTTCTCTGGTATATTTGAGTTGGCACGATATAAGGTTATGGTAGTTAATTAGGAAAAAGAATACAGAATAAAAAAAAAAAAATGCAAGGACACACACGAGGCCTGGGTGAACGAACTTATAGGATGCCAAATTTCCAAGTCACATGATATTTTCAAAAGATTTCTCACATGATAAGAAGTTACAAACATTAATTATGAAAATGAGCACTACAACAAGGTGAACCCATGGATCCTGAAATGCAGTAGAAATTGGTGCCTTTAATAGTTATAACCAATGGTCTTTTGGTGAATAAATAAAAAAATACTAATACTATAATACAAATTATTTGACATGAGGTTTTAACAAAATAAAAATAATTTCCTTCCCTCTAACAAGAGCGATAACAATGGTGGTGAAGATCTGATTAAGAAAATTCTCAGAAATGGGAAATTTTAAGTTAGTGATTCTTCTGTAGTTGATTTTATTTCCCATGACAGCAAGTAAGGATAATTTCTCCAAATGAACTATGCCTATATGATCAGTGCAATAAAAATGTGTGGTTGAACTTTCTGCAGAAGAAAGAAGGTCATGGAATGTACCAAAGCAGAGTGATGATATTTCAATTACAGCATAGGTATTGTGGTCCGGATGATCAAATTTTAACGTGGACGAATTTTTAAGTCTTGTAATTCCTCTAATATATTTCAATTCGCATAAAAGAAAGTCAGAAAAAATTAACAAGCCAAGTACTATAATGGACATGCATTACCCTATAAGAAGCAATTTGGATAATCTGTCACATGCTAAAATAATATCAGTACCTGCATCACAAACTCCTGTGGGGCTAAGAGCACTTTTAGCAGCTTCAACCAATGGTCTTCCAATGTTCTCGCCCATCTCTTCAGTCCCCTTAGTTAAACCTGTTAGTTTTAAAAAAACTGAGAGTAAATAGAATGATATAACGTTTTAACAAAATAAAAAATATCTTACATCTAAACACTCCGAAGAAAATAAAACCAAAAGAAGAGGAAGAAAGAAAAACATTACTTTCTTTATCGTTGAGTGTTGTGCTTGCTCGAATAGATTCTTGCTAGATTGAGTCTTTGAGTCTTGTGATTCTTCTATTAGTTTTCATTCCCATCATAGCATATTAGAATCAATAATTAATTAAGAAAACGTAGAGCTTTATTTCAAGGAACCTAAACAAAGCTCCTCTCAGATTAGTGAGAAATTTAATGTAGAATGGCATGAGGTTGTAGATAAATAATTAATAAATTCCTTCCTTCTTACACGTGAAAGAAATTATTTATGTATGTTCTCTGTGGCTAATACTAAAGGTGGTCATTTAATTAAACAATTTGGCATCTTCAGAAGTTTTCTAGTACTGTCAATTATTTTTAGATGATTTCGGATTATAAAAATCAGAATGCGGAGTATCTCACAAAAAAAAAAAACATTAATCAAGCCAATGAATATGATAACAAAGTGTCACTGAGCACTCTACTGAACAAAAGGAATCAGTCATTAAATATACCAAAGGATAGTGATAGTGATAAATACCTAATACACTCAAACCTGTAAAAGAAATTAAGGCCAAAGTCAAAGAAACATGTGATTATTTATGGCAAATAGCAGAGTGCAAGGCAATCTCAATACCTTTTTCTTGATTTGTAGAAGGGCTGGAGGCAATTTGAGTAACCGGAGCCAAAGGCCTCTCAGTACCTGACGAGGCTTGCTCATTCAGCTCTTTGTTATAAGATTGACTTGGAAGTTTGTGTGTTTCTTGCTTCCCAATGTCTGCAATTTGATTAGGCTTCCATTGTCCTACTTGCTCCCCAGAGCTTGATGCTGTGGTAGTACTGGCACTCATTTGATGAGTTTGACTGCTTTTGGTAATATCACTTGAAGATTCCTTATAGTTCCCTTCGTCTCCTTCTCGAGTTGCCTGATTAAGGTAGGCACACAAGATATTATATCTTGACGGCAACGCACATTTACATTCAATATTTTTACCCATATTTAAGTTTTCATTTGACTGTGTTTAAGTTTTACATATTTTTTCAGTCAATCATATTTTGCTGCAGCAAAATATTGTCTAAATTTAGTTCTTTAGATTTTACAAATGGAGGTTGAGACACATACACGATATTACAGGAGTGTCAATCATCTCAGAATTTATTTTTTAGCATACATACCTCTGTGAACAATGGTGGATAGGTGGTGTTAAGGTCTTCTTTCCAGCGTCTTTTCCCATTTTCCACTGTCACTGATTTTAGAAATGGGGCAATAATGATTCCAGACGAGAAATTTTGCATTTTGGGGCATCCTGTCACTTCCATTAACACAAAGAGGGGAATATGAAGGTGTGTTTCCCAGAGCAAAAGCTTTTGAAACGTGATAGACAAGTTAGCTCCAAATCCTTCAAGCTTTCAAATATGATTTCTTCGTCTGATCCCCCTTCATTAGTCGTCACAACCTCCTCTAGCATTCCACAATTGCTAACTGTTAAGCTTGAGAGGTGGACGAGACTTTTAGCCGTGAAAGGTGTCATGAAGTACATCAAGTCATTGCAATCCTTTACTTCCAAGGTGGTTAAGCTTGCGAAAGATGTCGAAGGTGGTGCCAATCTTCTTAACCTAGAACATTGCACTATATACATATTTTCAAGGTTTTGAACCAAGGGATGCGATGCTGAGTCGTCATTATTCCATATATGCTCAAGCTTCTCCAATTGAAATAGCAACAACGTTTTAATTTGGGTAAGGCTTCCAATATAACAATGATTAATTTCTTCTGAATGAAAGAGTGTTTCAAAAGAACTGCAACGCACTTGTAGTGTATTTATAGCTGCAAATATTTGGATTAAATCATTCAGAAACTTTATGGAGTTCCCTGAAAATATTGCAAACGAAGCCTTTTGATGCTCTGAAAGAGATTTTTCTCATATTTGCCATTCAATATCCTCGTAGTGTCCTTTTCATTTAATGGCAACGCTCCAAATTTTGAGACACCTAAAAAAGAAAATATAATTTGTTTCTTTTATCATATAATCTACTAATAAGATAACATAAAATATTTTTTATACTTTTACAAACCACATACATAATTATAGTTTTCCTCAACCATGCATCTTTTTTCTTGGAGAAAAAATGTAATTAAGACAGATAGAAGAAATTATACAAAAAAAAAAAGAAAAAAGGATGCATACCTTTTCAATATGAAACAAAGCTTGTTCAATTTGCGACTCATTGTCACCCTCCCTAAGCGGTTGGGAATTCAAATGGTCAAATGCAAATATTTGCAATTCTTCGCATCCACGAACATTTAACCATTCCAACGAAGGACACTCTAAAGTATACCTTTTTGGATAAAAATTAGTGAGATGTGTCAGATCCCATAGCTCCAAGATTGTTAACCGAGGAAAATCAAACTTGAGTTCCTCTAATCCTTCTTCAATTGAAACAATTTCCTCAACACCACAAGACTCAATGTGAAGCTCTTCAAGTCGCCTCAAATCTTGGCATAGTGAGACCGAAAACAAACATTTCAAGTGTTGGCATTTATCAACTTTCACCATTTGTAAATTTTCAAAGCTGATTATTTCTCCTGCTTCTCTGTTCCATATGCATTTCAAATTTGGAAGCGCCGAGAGTGTTAATTTCTTCAACCGACTAACTTCCTTTGATTCTTTTGCATTCTCATCCAATGCATTTACATCAAATACCACTTCTAATGAATCACACTCTGATACTTCCAGTTCCTCTAATGCATATATCAATCGCAGTAAATTTGATGAAAAAATCACGTTGGACAAGAAGGTACATTTTCGCACCACCAGATGCTTCAAATTGCGGAATATATTTGGCCCATCTTGGCCATACCATAGTTCTTTCAGTTCTGGATATACAGAAAATTCCAAAAGACTGAACCTACTAAATGCCACCTGTGCAAATAATTACAAAGGTAAGGGAAAAGACAAGAAGGGGAGCGAAACAAATTAAACAATGACATTTTGTTACTCTCAGCTAATAAAATCAATACTATTCATTCAAAGTATTAACTAACTATCATGTTAGCAGAAATAAAAAGGATAAAAATATCTAACTCAAACCTAAACACAGCCTCATCTTCATTTCGTTAAAGCTTTTATGGCAATGGCACCAATATGTGATTCTGGATTACATGAGAAATTTGTATTTTTCAATTCATATAAAAGTGAAGATATATCCAAACGGATGCGCCGAGCAAAAGGAGAAGTGAATAATAAAGGCTAATAAAAGCTATACAATCATGAAAATAAATATTTACAATAAAAATTAAAGATATTTTCACAATCATTTTTCGTTTTACATAAACAATTGGCTTTTCTGACAATTTGTTCATACCATTTTCTCATCGTATATCAGGGGAATAAAGAATGATTTTCCAGTGAAATCAAAACATACCTTGTCCGTAAACATCTTGTTTATTGTCTTATTCAGATCACCTTCCCAATACACGTTTCCATCTTCTTCTTTTGATGATATATTTCGAAGCTTTGGTGTGCTTGTGTCTCTCCCAGCTGAGAAGGTGTTCATTCTTGGGCATTGCTCAATGACCACTTCTTTTAACAACGGAAATTTTAAGAAGTAATTGGAGAAGCAAAACCTTTTGATCATCGGCAGACACTCAAGCTCCAAAATTTGTAAGCTGCCAAATGCAATTTCATCTTCAGACCCCTCCGCCTCTTCTGCCACCACAATTTGCTCAAGTGAATTGCAGTTCTTTATTTTCAATGTTGATAATTTGACCAGACTTCTTGCGGTTGATGAGGTAATCAAGTGAATCAATCCATTGCAATTTTTTACTTCCAGATATGTCAACTGACTAAAAGTTACGGAGGAAGGCACTAAGTGTTTCAAATCGGAACAACAATCGATCCATAAGCTTTCAAGATCCTCAAGAACTGGGTCTATTTGAAATCCTTCTTTACATATATGCTGGAGTTCATGTAAATTAGAGAGTGTCAAACTTTTAAGTCGTGTTCCAGTTTTAAATTTTCCTCCGTGATCTTTAGGCATTTCTTCTTGGAATATCTCCTTGAAAGAACTCCATTCAACAACTAGCCAGTCAAGAGCGGTGACGTTTTGGAGAAACCAATACGGAAAAATAACATGGCCATCGTAAAAATTTGCCAAACAAAGAAATTTGAGTTTGCTGAAGTGTTCCCCTGAAAATTGCCCTTGTAATATCATGCCTGCATCCTCACTATTTAGCGCCAAGCTCTCCAAGTTGTAAATCACCTATGCACAGCATAGATAGAAAGCGTTGATCAACTATTTTGTACACGGCAACATAAGAAGATACGATAATGAGGCGGGAAGCAAGTCATGAATAGCACGCATAATGAAACCAGATTCATTTTCTTGAATATAGAAAATTATTATGAAACAATGAATGCATTGAGATATTTAGGGTGTCTAAATAAATCAAGATTTTTTTTTTTTTATAATCATTCATGTACCTTTTCAAGTGTGAAAAGAGGCTGCTGCGTTGAGATTTGGAGTTTAGCGTCAGAAGCTCTTTCTTGGCCACTTGTACTTTGAGTCTTGAAGAGCTTCAATTTTGCACAAAGGCGGACATCTAATTTGCTTAATACTGGACATCGTACACTATGACTTCCAGCAAAAAATCCCTCCAGTTCATATAAATTCCAAAGCACCAATGAGGTCAAGTGATTAAACTCAAATTTAATAGGACTGTCCATGAGGCCTTCTTTGCCTGAAACAATTACTTTCATCCTCCCTGCATTCTTTATGGTAATACGTTCAAGTCGAGTAGCTTGCGTTGCAATGGAGAGTGGAAAAAGGTATTCCAAGTTGTCACAGTCATCAACATCTACAAGTTGCAAATTAAGGAAACGAAGGTTTGCTTCAGCATTCCTGCTCCAAATCTGCTTCAGCTTTGGTAGCCGAAGCAGAGTTAGTTTCTGTAGTCGTGCCGTCTCCTCTGCACTGCCCATTTGGGAGCTGAATTCAAAATCAAATATGACTTGTACTGACTTACAATCACTAACCATCAATGCCTCCAGACTTGCAAATGCTCTCTGCATATATGATGGAAATATGCTCTCAAGTTTGTCACACTCTGAGACTTCCATCGTCTTAAGACCGTCAAAGCAGTTTGAGGCGAAGCAGGGGTGCCATATCGTGTTCAGCTCTGGCATGCCTTCTATTATCATTTTTTCCGAGTTGGGGAAACGTACCTGCCATGTATTTACAGATATGTTTCATAATGATGGGCACTATTCGAATAAGGCAAGTCAGATACGGACAAGATACGTCATAAAACATGACTAATAATGATAAAACAGTAGTAATACTGACTTGACATGCGAGCGATTAATGAAGAAATTATATCCTTAGATCATAAAACTTTTACGACAACGGGCAGCAAGATTATTATGGTTTATAAATCTCTTTTATTCTGGCAATAAAAAAGGTTTCAATTGTCTAAAGTCTTAAAAAAGACATAAAATTTTTATTTAATATAGGCTTCTTAAAAAAATTTGAACAATATTTTTTTTATTTTTCCCCAAATATCTCACATCAATTAAAACAAAATATTTATAAGTACTAAATGACAAAAAAGCAAAAAGCATATATACTGCATTCAGGAGTAATAAGGCTAGGCAGAACTCAAAAGTCACCAAGGCTGCACAATGAGACAATGATTTCGGCCAACGTACAATTATTTTATATATATCATTGCACACACAAAATCCTTGTGACTCACGCTGTATTATCATATTTTCCTTGGATCTTCTGAATCTGCCTATTTTTTGATTAAATATGATAAAAATAAATATTAAACATATGCTGCATTCATTCAAAGCATATGTAATTCAAACCAGTTAAGCAGCCGTCTCATATCATGTATACCTGTTGAACGGAACATTCTGGATGGTGATGTCGGGCGTGACTTTCTGTTGTTTCTCTAAAGCTGACAATTTCTTCAAAGTTTTGTTTCCATATGTGTTTGAGCTTAGGCAGACCAGAGAGAGTTATTCTCTTCAGTTGAATGGTCTCCTTAACAAGGGCCTCCTTTCGATCCATGTTGGTTAAATCAAACACAGCTTCCAATGAATCACATTCGCTTACTTGAAGCTCTTCTAAGTTGGATAGCGCTTGCACCAAATTTAAAGGCAGTAGCACATCGGACAAAAAGTCACATTTATGTACTAATAAATTTCTCAAATTATCAAACACTCCAGGTTGAACATGGCTATACCACGATTCTCTTAACTCAGGATACTGAGATAGCTCTAAATGCGTATGACTATGGAATGCCACCTGTAAAATTTGCGGTGCAGGGTTAGTTAAAAAAATAAAATAAAGGGCATTAATAAAGCAAACTAAACATAAACATTTTGCTTTTCCAATGGTTTGTCCACAAACTTCTGCCATTATAAGTCAGAAAAAATTTGTCATTATGTAGAGAATGATCTTCTTCCACTTATGTTTATCAGAAATTTTTGAGTCAAATCAAACATACCATATCCGTGAACATCTTGTTTATTGTTCTGTTTAGGTCACCTTCCCAATACATCTTTTCATCTTCTTCCATTGATTGTATTTCTCGAAGCGTTGGGGTGCTTGTGCTTTTCATAGAGAAGATGTTCATTCTTGGGCATTGCTTAACAACAACATTCACTAGTGATGGAAGGTTCAACCCACAGTTACTAGAGCAGAACCTCTTGATCATCGGCAGACACTCAAGCTCCAAAATTTGTAAGCTGCCAAATGCAATTTCATCTTCAGATCCCTCCGCCTCTTCTGCCACCACAATTTGCTCAAGTGAATTGCAGTTCTTTATTTTCAATGTTGATAATTTGACCAGACTTCTTGCGGTTGATGAGGTAATCAAGTGAATCAATCCATTGCAATTTTTTACTTCCAGATATGTCAACTGACTAAAAGTTACGGAGGAAGGCACTAAGTGTTTCAAATTGGAGCAACAATCGATCCATAAGTATTCAAGATCCTCAAGAACTGGGTCTATTTGAAATCCTTCTTTACATATATGCTGGAGTTCATATAAATTCCCGAGGTTCAAAGCTTTAAGGCGAGTTTTAAATTTTCCATTGTGACCTATAGGCATTTCTTCTTGGAATATCTCCTTGAAAGAACTCCATCAACAAGTAGCCCATCGAGAGTGGTGATGTTTTGGAGAAACCAATACGGAAAAATAACATGGTCATCATCAAAATTTACCAAACAAAGAAATTTGAGTTTGCTGAAGTGTTCCCCTGAAAATTGCCCTCGTAATATCATGCTTGCATCCTCACTATTTAGCGCCAATCTCTCCAAGTTGCAAATCACCTATGTACAGCATAGATAGAAATCGTTGATCAACTATTTTGTACACAGCAACATAAAAGAAATAAAATAGTGAGGCAGGAAGCAATTAAGTGATACATAGCAAAAAATCAAAGATGACTATGTTGTTTTTTTTTTTTTTGGCAAAATACAAAAAATTATTATGAAACGAGGCATGCATTGAGATATATTTATGGTGTCTAAACAAAAGTTTTTTTTTTCCCTATAATTATTGTTATACCTCTTCAAGTGTGAAAAGAGACTGCTGCATTGAGATGTGGAGTTTACTATCAAAAAGTCTTTCTTGGCCACTTGTACTTTGAGTCTTGAAGAGCTTTAATTTCACACAAAGGCGGACATCTAATTCCCTTAATACTGGACATAGTACACCATGATTTCCAGCAAAAAATCCCTCCAGTTCATATAAATTCCAAAGCACCAATGAGGTCAAGTGATTAAACTCAAATTTAATAGGACTGTCCATGAGGCCTTCTTTGCCTGAAACAATTACTTTCATCCTCCCTGCATACTTTATGGTAATACGTTCAAGTCGAGTAGCTTGCATTGCAATGGAGAGTGGAAAAAGGTATTCCACGGTCTCACAGTGTTCAACACACACAAGCTGCAAATTGGGGAAACGTACCTGCCATTTATTTGAATAAGGCAAGTCAAACACAGACATGATATGTCATGAAACATGACCAATTATGATAATTCAGTAATACTAACTTGACCTGCGAATGATGAATCAAGAAGTTAAATCTTTAAATCTTAAAATATGTACAACAACGCGCAGCAAGATTGTTATGATTTATAAATCTCCCTGTTTAGCAAGCTTCAATTATTCTGGCAAAAAAAAAAAAAGGTTCCGATTGTCTAGGAAGTCTTTAAAAATTAGTGGCTAAAGTATATGTTTGGCGTTTTATATTTATACCATGTTTTATTCTTTTTTTTGTTTTTGAGCTGAATAGTGCAATATTTTTATTTCAGAATCAAGTAAAAAGGCTTACAAACACCAAAAGAAACTAACAAGGCAGAAAAGGAAAGAATAAAGCAAAGGCAACACATCAACCAAAAAACAAAACCAACACAACCAACCAAAGAAAAATCACACAGCAGGCAACGGCCAAGACACGGAAAAAGCAGCAGCACAACCAATTCCTATTCTTTCTCCCACATCAGCAACGAAGACAGTTCAGCACCACGGAGTTCTTTCTGCAGAAAGGTCAACAAGGAGGATGGTGGCCAACTCAGCCATCCATTTGGTACCATACCTCCCATAGCACAAGCTGCCATGTGATCTGCAGCTTCATTCCCTAATCTGGCCACCAAGGACACACCAATTCCTCAAAGAACCTCTCAACGTGTTTTATTTTAGTCTTTTAAGTTTACAAAGTGTATTTTTAATCCCTCAATCTTAACATCTTTAGTTTCACTTAATGGAAAATGTTGATTCATTAAACTTAGCGATGACTACGTAATTAAACACCAACAAAAATGCCAGGATTTTAATGTTTTTAATATAATATTATTGTATATTGTCAAAAAGTAATATTTTTATATTTAAATTAAAATTAACCAGCCAAAAACCATAAAAGTATTATTTTTTTCAACATAAAATATTATATTTTTGCCTCATTTATTTTTATTTTAATTTTAATTTTAATTTTCAAAATAAAAATATTAGATTAAAAATATTAAAATTTAGGTATGTTCTGTCAACATTTAATTTTACAGTCTTCACTTAAGTTTGATGGATCAACATTTATTGATGGATCAGCATTTTCCGTTAAATTAAATAAAGGGTTAACATGTAAATTTCCCTACAAGTTTTTACTTGAGATTGTGAGATACCCACAAGTTTTTTTAGGTATAAATTTGCCTTGAAAGTTTCAAATAGTAGAAATATTGCCCCTTTTTATTACAACATTAACGTTGACTGTTAAAATAGTGATGTGAGTTAACATTTTTAACTATAGGTAGTAATATTGCTACAATTTTAAACTTTTGGGACAAATTTAAATACAAAAAAACTCACCAGAAAGAAAACCTTCAGAACAAATTTGTACCTTAATCCTAAAACTAATGGCGTTAAGATTGTTGAACTACAAATGCATTTTATAAACTTAAGAGACCAAAAAAAACCTAATGTAAACATAAAGGAGAAACATATAGTTTAGCCAAATTAAAACAAATAAAAGTTTTTATTTGATATGCGTGTCTCAAATAAAATTTGAACAATATTTTTTACTTTTTTTCCATCTCACATGAATCAAAACAGAATATTTATAAATACAATATGAAAAAAAAAAAACAAACAAAAGCATATATACTGCATACAGAAGCATTAAGGCTAGGAAGAACTTAGAAGGCACCAAGGCTACGAAACGCAATGAATTCAGCACTAGAAAAAACGTACGAGTATTATTTCACACAAACACGCAAAATCCTTGTGGCTAACACTATATTACCATATTTTTATTGGATCTTCGGAATCTGCCTTTTTCTTAATTGAGTAAATACGGTAAAAATAAATATTAAACCTATGCTACATCTGTTCAAAACATAACGCAAACTATAGTTAAGCAGCAAGTCTCATATCATACCTGTTGAATGGAACATGCACGACGCTGATGCTGGATTTGACCTTCTGTTGTTTCTCTAAAACTGACAGTTTCTTGGAAGTTCTGTTTCCATACGTGTTTGAGCTTAGGTAGACTAGAGAGAGTTATTCTCTTCAGCGGAATGGTCTCCTTAACAAAGACTTCCTTTCGATCCATGTTGGTCAGATCAAACACAACTTCCAATGACTCACATTCACTTACTTGAAGCTCCTCTAAGTTGGATAGCGCTTGCACCAAATTTAAAGGCAGCAGCACATCTGATAAAAAATCACATTTCTGCACTACCAGATTCCTCAAATTAACAAACACTCCCTGTTGAACAAGGTTGTACCACGATTCTCTTAACTCTGGATACTGAGATAGCTCTAACTGCTCAAAACTATGGAATGCCACCTGCAAAAATTGAGGTGCAGGGTCAGTAGAAAGAAATAAAGGCATAAATAAAGCAAACTAAACAGAAGGCTTTTTTAAATGTTTGTCCATAAAATTTTGCCATTGTAAGTCAGAAAAAGTTTTAATTATATGTAGAGAATGATCTTCTTCCTCTTGTCTATCAAAATTTTTTAGTCAAATTCAAAACGTACCATATCCACAAACATCTTGTTTATTGTTCTGTTTATGTCACCTTCCCAATACATCTTTTCATCTTCTTCCTTTGATTGTATTTCTCGAAGACTTGGGGTGCTTGCGCTTTTCATAGAGAAGATGTTCATTCTTGGGCACTGCTTAACAACAACATTCACTAGTGATGGAAGGATCAACACAGAGTTACTAGAGCAGAACCTCTTGATCATTGGCAGACACTCAAGCTCCAAAATTTGTAAGCTGTTAAATGCAATTTCATTTTCAGACCCTTCCCTCTCTTCTGCCACCACAACTTGCTCAAGTGAATTGCAGTTCGTTATATTCATTGTTGTTAATTTGACTAGACTTCTTGCAGTTGATGAGGTAATTAAGTGAACCAATCCATTGCAATTTTCCACTGCCAAATATGTCAAGTGACTAAAAGTAACAGAGGAAGGCACCAAGTGTTTCAATTTGGAACATTGATCCACATCTAAGTATTCAAGCTCTTCAAGAACTGGGTCTATTTGAAATCCTTCTTTGCATATATGCTCCAGATCATCCAATCGATTGAGTGTCAATGATTTAATTCGTGTTCCGATCTTAAATTTTCCTTTGTCCTGTATAGGTATTTCTTCTCGGAATATCTCCTTGAAAGAACTCTTTTCAACAAGTAGCTCATTGAGAGTGGTTATGTTTTGGAGAAACCAATAGGGAAAAGTAGCATGATCATCTTCAAAATTTGCCAAATAAAGAAATTTGAGTTTCCTGAAGTGTTTTCTTGCAAGTTGTCCTTGTAATATTATGCTTGCATCCTCACTATTTAGGGTCAACTCCTCCAAGTTGCAAATCACCTATATGTAACACAGGTGAAAAGCATATGTCAAATATTTTGTATATAGCAACATAAATAGGTATAAGAGTGAGGTAGGAAACAAGTGATAATAGGCTGCATAATCAAACCTGTTTAATTTTTTTTTATAGAAAAATATTATGAAAAAAAAAATGCATGCATTGAGATATTTATGGTGTCTAAATAAATTAAGATTTTTTTCTTCTATACCTCTTCAAGTGTAAAAAGAGGCTGCTGCATTGAGATTTGCTGTTTACCATCAAAAACTCTATCTTGGGTCTTGTACCTTGTGTCTTGAAGAGCTTCAATTTCAAACACATGCGGACATCTAATGCCCTTAATAATGGACATAGTAAACTATGTTTTCCAGCATAAAGTCCTTCAAGTTCCAATAAATCCAAAACACCAAAGAGGTCAGGCGATTAAACTCAAATTTGACTGGACTGTCCATGGGGATCACTTCGTTGCCTGAAACAATATGTTTCATCCTCCCTGAATATTTTATGATAATATGTTCTAGTTGAGTAGCTTGCATTGCGATGGAGAATGGAAAAAGGTATTCCAAGTTCTCACAGTCTTCAACGCGCACAAGTTGCAAATTATGAAAACGAAGGTTTGCTTGAGCATCTCTACTCCAAATGTGTTTCAGCTTTGGCAAGCCAAATAGATGGAGTTTCTTCAATTGTGAGACTTGTTGTGTAGCTCTTTCGTCTTCATTATGGATTCCTTTGGCGGTTGATTCGAATATCTCTTCCACTGAACCGCAACTGCTGACAGTCAAAGTCTCAAGGCTTCCAAGCGTTCCCAGCATATCAGATGGGAAAATATCCACAAGTTTCCCACAATTGCTTACCTCCAGACTCTTTAAACTAGCAAATTGAAGGCGCCATACTTTCTTCAAGCTTTCCATGTCTTTAACTACCATGGTCTCCAACTTTGTGAACCGGACCTATGATACAAAGCACAGTTTTCAAATCCGAAGGAACCAACATTTAATATGAATGATATTGAATAGAACTACACAAGCGCAAATGTTTGATGTTATGGTGTTAACATTTATTTCAGATCTAATCGTAATACCTCTTGTGTTGCAAGGCAATCTGGAGCAATGATTTCCTCCATCATCTCACATTTGCTTATTTCAAGGTGTTTGAGTTTTGAAAGACTTCTAACCGAAAAAGATGAGAATAAATGCTTGAGTCCTCTACAATCCTCAACAATCAAGTGAGTCAAATTCTGAATACAATTGGCTTGATCATCCCAAATTTTTTCCAGATTGATTGAACTCAACTTCAGGGCCTCCAAGCTAGGAAAACTAACCTGTGATTGAAAAAATTTGTTACTTTCAACTTGGTAAATGAAAAAAAAAAAGGGGGGGAAAGATGACAATTTGATCCACTCTGAGAGAGCCATTGATAATTTGGTCTCATGAATTTAATAAATTATATATAAGTCTCAAAACATTTGGGTGCAATTTTTATAACTTCTAGACCTTTGGCCATTGAAAGATGACAAATAATTAATATTTCAATACTATTTCATTATAATACCATTATTTTAATAATATTTCCCGATAACAATTTACAAGTCTACTCTGCTAATTGCAAATAAAACTTTGCATCAATTCACCACCCAATTAATTTTTATTTTCATATTCAAATTTTACGAATCCGTTTAAAGCTTTTTCTCACCTATTCTACAAATTATTTCTTCGCATTTTATTATTCTTTTCTTTTTTTAACTCTTTTCTATTTTCACCTCATAAATTGGTTGTAAGATTTTTAAAGTTTTGATCATATACAAATTTTTTTTGCTAAAATTTACAAGTTAAACTTTAAAATTTGTATTTTTATAGGTCTTTCAAATGTTGCAAATTTATTTTTTTTCCGAGTTAAAAAATTTTTCACCCCGTAAAAATTAATCTTAACAAGTGGTATATTACAATGGATTTGTAAATATTTATTATGTAAACATCTTCTAAAAAGTAAATGCGTTTGTGCAAAACTATCATTTAAACAAGTAGGAAAATGGAGTATTAATATATTACTATGATACTAATTATAGTATTATAAATCTAAATTACATAACCTAACATAATAAGAAGTTTTCTTTAAAAATAAAAATAAAATTGGATTTCTATATATAAAAAACGTATAGGTTTGGATCACCTCGGAGAAAAGTTAGTTGTTGAGTTTTGCAAATACAAAAATTTCAATTGCAGTTCAAAGGAGAACTGATCAGTTGTAGTATGAAAAGAATTGGGAAGCAATTTATGAGTTAAAAATAACAACCAAGGAATTGTAAAATTTACGGATATAACTTGCAAAAAGGAAAGAGGCCAAATTTTAAATGGATTTATAAAATTTGAAGAAAATGTGAGAAAAGACATAAGTTGTAAATAATGTATGATTTGTAAATAGTACATATGGGCTTGTAACTTGTTACAAGAAAATATTATTAAAATAATCATACTTACTTCATAAAAAAGATAATCATATTTAAATTAATTATTAATAAAATATTAATGATAATTTTTTAATGCCTTGCTGGTTCTAGTACTTACCAGCTCGTCACCCATCAATGGTGGTCAAAGGTCGAAGGCTTAGAATAGCATTTTAGATATTTTGCATGTGTTAAACATTGATACTAGAGATTCTTAGGACTTGTCTATAATTTATCTAACAAATCTGTTGGGACAAAATTATGATTTTCTCTAAAAATATAATTTATCCGGAGGGAGTACCTCATTACATTAAGAATTTGACATTCTACTTCTAGATTTATACATATATATATATTTAAAAATACCATAGATGATGATTGTGATAGCTATTTATGATTCAGTCATTTGATCTAAATCGTAAATAACAAAATTATAAAACGAATGAAAAAGAAACATACCTTAGTGCCATTAAATAATGATGTGGCTGTCATAAAAGATGTCATTTCATTTGAGCAAAAATCATGGATGACTGGCAAATGACAAAGACTCAAGGAGCGTAGTGAATGAAACTCAATCTTCTCATCACTACTTATTCCACTATTTTCAGTTTCAATTAACACAATCCTCTTCATTGAATTGCATTCTAAAACTTGGAGCTCAACAAGTTGAGAAAGAGCTTTCTCCATTAAGATAGAAAAGAGATATACCAGTTGATCACAACTTTTGACTTTGATGATTGTGAGTTTGCCAAAGGAATTAATGGGAAGTGGGCCATGACATATCTTCACTAACTTATTGAGATTGTGAAGTATTAGTGTCTCCAATTTTGGAAACAAAACATGAGTTTCATTCCACTCCACTGTGTTGATGATATGCTGAACCTGGCCATTATTTTGGATATGGAGATATTTAGTAGAGGAAATCCTTCTCCATTCAAATCAAAAAGCACATCGAAAATTCCATTGACTTCATCTAAGTACAAATCTTCCACTTCTTTAATCAATGCTTTAATCCCATGTTCTGAATGAATGCTAGTATCAAGCTTTAGCTTTAGCAACCTTGAGGTGCTTTTGCTCCTTGACCATTCCCATTTATCTCCGATGACAATCTTATATCTCTCAAACTTTTCAAACATCATATCCCTCGACAACATCCAAGCCTCAGGAATTTGAATTTCTAAAGTAGTCAGGCTTGTCAAACACCCAAGCTCAGCAAGACTAGCACTTTCGTTTTGCTTAGCTGGACTTTCCTCCTCCCACTTAATTGAGGCATTGCCCATATAAAGTTCCTCTATGTTAGTCAACTTGGACAAAGTGTTGGGTGGGATGATCTTAATTTTAGAATTTGTCAAATCCAACATTTTTATATGAGTCAGTTGTCCTATTTCACTCGGGAACTCCACCATGTATGAATACAAAAACTAAGAATTTCTAAATTTGTCAAGGCACCTATTCCGGCCATATTTTTCAAAGTGCATTGATCCAAACACAATGTTTTAAGTTTGGTCAAGGAAAGAAGAGATATAGGCAGTGAAGGTATTATCAAGCCTGTCAAATCTAATGCTTCAAGATTCTCCATTCCCTCAAAAAAGTTGTCTGGAATTTTCAAAGTGCAATTATCAGTGCCACATAAGTAGAGAAATTTTAAATTGGGGCAGTCTAACTTTTGAGGAAGTTCTTGGATAAAACATAGTGTCAAGATTATCTGGGTACATCTTTCGAGAAAACCCTTGCTCGACCAATCTCGCACCTTGTCACCATTTCTTTTCAGCACGAAGACATATTCATTCTTATAAGCAATTGAAATAGCTACTTCACGAACAAGGTCATGCATTTTAATTGCTTCAGTCTCACTTGTATCATCATCAAGTAACAAACAGAATGCCTTCAAGGCATGAATTATTCTATATAATCGGTTTCTTGCATCTTCAACAGTATATGTGTGTTTCAGAACACCCAAACCAATTACATATTTCAACAAGTCACTAACCAACAGGGATGGTCCATGTACACCACAAAGCAAGATACTTTCTTCTTCATTTCATCATCTTCCAATCGATTGTAAGTAAATTCAAAAGCTGAAAAAACAGTCCCACGCATGTCCCCCTTATCAACTGCTTTAAGTTGCTCAAGGCATCTTTCCAATAGTGAGTATTCTTATTATATTTTAATGAATTTGCAATTGAGACTATCATAACAGGCAAACCTGCACATCTTTCAACCACTTGAGTTGCTATCTTTTTCAAGTCACCATCTTCAACAGCATCACCAACCATATCTTCAAACAACCTCCATGATTCTGTATCATTTATTGTTCCAAGAGCAAAATCCTTTTGAGTCTCATTCTTATGTAAAATATCTAAACTTCTAGAAGTCAACAATAATTTGCAACCTTGACAAGTCTCATTCTTCTGTGAAATATCTAAACGTTGAGAAGGCAATGATGATTTGCCACCCTTAACATCCAGCTCAGAGGGAATTCCTAACTTGTCCAAATCAATTTCCTCCCATAAATCATCTAGTATAATAAGGACATTTTTTTTCCATTTTTATCCTTCTACACAGGCGGTCGGCTCTTCCAATTGTGGTATTCTCATCCAAGTGGAAGCCAAATTGATATGCTATCTCGTCTTGAACCTTTTCAACATCCAATATTTCAGATATAGTTGCCATCGCCACCACATCAAATCGCTTTTCATCCTTAACATGTTTGGCAATATCTTTGACTAGAGTGGTCTTTCCAACCCCAGGCCAACCATAAATTCCAACTTTGCTTACTTTAGGGTCTATTAGAGACAACATAACCTCCTTCTTCAATGAATTTCTTGACTCAAGCTTTTCACTGCCTCGAGTAGCCAAAATTAAGCTTGCCATGCTAGATGCACGAACATACCCAACTCGACCCTCAAAATTCCCCTTTTCCTTTAGTTCAGCAACGTTGAATGCCATTTTCTTTGATTTTCTACCAAGTTGATGTCTTGATTTCAAGTTAGGAAAAGACCATTTCCAACACCGTACATTAGCTTGAGTCTGATCTTCATAAAGTTTTTCTACTTCTCCCATGGTCTCATCAACTCTTTCTTGCCATCTTTTTACATCAGCTTCAATCTCTCTGCCACTGCTTCTTTCTGCTTCAACAAGATGCTCGTTGCGAATTCTCTCTGTCTTCAACTCCTCAATTTTATCCTTTAGCTCCTTAAAATTTTCTTTGTAAAATAATAAATATCCCACTTGCCTTCCAATAGGTATCACAGTTAGCTCAGATATTTTACCAGCAATAGTAGTAAGAATTTCCATTGTTACTTCCTGAATAAAAAGACAAAAATTTGTTTGTTGGATGAACAGAAGTCACAACAGATCAAAAGATAATGCCCGGCCCCTAGGGAAAAAAAAAGGACATATACACAATTGCTTGGCTTTAACTAATAGGAGATTGAGAGGCAGTATGACTATAAGTAGAAAATACGAAATCTCCAAATTAGAATCCAAGCCGTCAATTCAAGTTTTGAAGGGTTCAATGAATTTGTCTATTATTCATGTGAGTATTTGCGTCTCTGTTTTTGTCTCTTCTTCCCGAAGAAGAATATGTGGCTTCTACCGGTGACAATGGCCTAAACTCCAACGCCATTGGAGCTCCAGAAGTGCCAGTGGAATGGGGAATTTTTTTTTTAAATTGGTCAAAGTAGAATTCATTTGAGGAGAAATTCTTGTGCGTTCCAGGAGCACCACGTCATTTATGGTCTGACAAATTAAAACCTGCCATGTCTTTAAACTTATCTGAACTTAACCTTAGCTGTAAGCGTTTTAATCTACTCGCCCGTCCCATATTATAAACAACAACTGTTATTTTATCTTGTCCCTAAATATAACAATTTTTAACAGTTGCCTTAAATTTTTCTAACAAATTTTCTGTTTTGCCCATGATAAATATTTGTTTTAATGTAATCTCCTTTCATTATATATTCTTTTTCTTTCATAATTCCCTCATTATACATAAGGGTATTTTGGAAAGAAAACATTTAATTTTTACACATTTATTGTTTTTAATTTTAACTATCACTTTAATTTATGTAATTTAGTTCAAGGTTGCTTATAATATGGGATGGAAGGAGTATTTGCTTAGTAATTAA